CAAAAGTCATTGAGCATTTGTTTGAAGACATCTATTCTATGATTCTTGTTTGATAGGTGAAGCATATGTTGGTGTACAAATAATTATTCTTTCAATTTCACAACTGTGCAACATGTATAATTTCATTTATACAGTGCCAAAATAAATTCTTGGTAAATTTTCTGTATCAGTTGCTGCCTTATCAGCCCGACGAAAAATTGCAACACAGAGTGTTCACATTCTGATTCAGCTCATGGTTAAAGAGACATGCTTGTGTGCCTTAAGTTGCTCTAATTGACCCATTGCTGTTCATGAAGTAGCGACACCCGTAGACGACTTTATGGAATTTTGTATGTTGAGCATTGTGTTTCTCAGATTTTGCCTGTCACCTGTCCATTTTGTAGTAATTGTACAATATTTCACAAGCTGCGTTGACAGGGTTCCACAACTTAGTTAAAATTGTTTCTTTCTGTAACTGTCAGTTATAATTTGACAAATTGCCACATCTGACAGAAGGCAGAATGGTGTGTCCCATTTTAAAGTACATGTGCCTCCTGAAATTGTTTCTGTTTGAACTGTGTGAAGTGCCATGACTGCTTTACTGCATATGCTGTACAACTTAAAATTCAGTTGGGTGAATTCATTGGTATTGTCATTGATTATAGTGAGTACATGTAACAGGTGATCAATCAGCCAATCATCAGATGATGGAAATGGTAAGAACATGTTACAAGGCTACAACAATGAAAAACAGATGTACCAGGTACATGTATTTCCAAAGCTTGCAATTCCACAGAAACCATCAATTACTGGTATGCCAACTGGCCAAGGTAGACTTCAGGGCAGTGCAATCTCACTGTCAACATAAAACCTACATGGAACCTTGGGAATATCTACCAACTATTAACCATTGTTTCACTGACTTGTCTCTGTTGATTTCAGGGCCTCGCTGTGAGGGACACACGGACCTCTGCAACCCCAACCCTTGTCATCACAACGCCGTGTGTGAGGCTGAAGGTGAGGATTATTACTGTGTCTGCCCTGCTGGACTGTCAGGCAGAGACTGTGAGATCCAGGTGTATGTCTGCCATGAAGGAGAGACTTGCTTGAATGGTGGCAGCTGTGCACCGCCCTCTATGGACCAAGTTTGCCTGTGTTTAGCTGGATTTGTGGGTGAGTTTTTGGGACAAGGTGATTGTAACCAAGAATTTAAAAACAATAGAATCAAAAGTGGAACCAAAGTGTGCTCACTCCATCTCCATCTTTTTGTGTCATTTTTGAAAGTATAGACTCAGAGCACATCCTGCTTATCAGAGCATAGCATTTCCAAAGACTGAGAAACCTGTGTGCATGACAAATTTAAACAACCAACTTAAGTCTTATTCCCCCCCCATTGTTAGGCCATCATATACGGGCTGCGTACATCTAACTGTCAAATGTAGAGTTATGTTAGCAATACCCAGAATTTAGGGTTTATGCTGTTTTCCTAATGGATGAGAAAAACCCAAGGACACTTGACACTGAAGTTGTCAGGTGAATTCTAATTGATTGTGCAAGTGTGCTAAGGAAACTTGGATCTCAAGACACTATTCAAATGTAATACACAAATGGCTTAAAAATTCTTTATGGAGAAAGCATATCAGTTTTAAAAGTTAAAAGAATAGTCCCCAAAATATGTTAAATAGTGGCGAACCCTGAAGTCACGTTTGTTCTTATTTTACTGCATAGGTTGGTAACCTTCATTTTTGTGCATTCTCTCCTTTTCTACCCTCCAGGAGAGCATTGCGAGATTGATTTTGATGACTGTACCTCTCTTCCCTGTGCCAATGGAGCCATCTGCATAGAC